ATATATATATATATAAATGATATAATTATTAGTGGCTTTTCAAATACTATTACCAATTATTTATTTATTTATTTCTTTAACAAATAACTTTCCATCTTTAATTGCCAAAAACTTTTACTGTCGAACAATAACAACAATAATAATAATTAATAAAACTTAAACGTGGCCCAGGACTCTTGCCTTAATTTAATGGTCTTGCACTTTGCGCAACTATTCTAGTGTTAATTTTGTCTATAATTTAAACCAAATTAAATTACACCACAAACCTTTACTTACTTTGGAAAAGTCCAATACTTACATCTATACATATATATTGTAAATATCTTGCTTTAGTTATTCATATTATTTTTATACGATACTTTTTGAGTTCATCTTTGAAATGTTGTGAAAAAAGAGTGAAAATATCATTAAGTTTAAATTCTACGCACTAAAAAGAATACGATTTTAATTAATAAAAAAATATGATTGAATGTAATTTTAAGATAATTATTATAAAAATTGACAAATTTACTACATATAATAATTTATAATTATATGAGAAAAATGTTTTACACTGTACAGAAAATATTTTTCTCAATACAATTGTGTTTTAATCAAGCTTTATTTATGAGGCCTCTGGCATTTGGCAGGGTTTGTATGTCCTGCTGGCTAATTTGTTTTCGGTCTGACTAAATGGTGTTTTATACAGTTAATTTTATTAAATTTTTATCAATACATATAATGATTGAGAGACAAACTACATTTGTTAATTGGAGATGATGATAATTTTGTGTTAGTTTAATCTGCAAGTTGCATAATTTTTCTAAAAAGTGCAAATTGGATCAGTTGGTTTGAGTTGTAGTGTGCAAGGCTTAGTCAACTCCAAGCTGGCTCCTGTACGACATTGTTGTATGCGTAAGGTAAAATAGAGAGAAATGTAGCTTTCATGTTTTCTATGGTTCAAATTAGATGCGTTAAAACACTAGCGGAGGGAGTTACAGAGAAAGCTCCACAATTAAAAGTGATTGCGTCAGTTTTGAATTTTTAATATTGCGAAATGTTATTCCGTATATATGTAGACATGAAAAATAAAAGTTAGTGGGAAGTGTGATAAGCAATTATCATCATATGTAAAATAAAGTCAATATTGGTGGTTTGGAAAATTGAAAAAATGAACAAGCGGACTTGTTAAGAATTAGAAAGGAGATATGGATAAGATACGCACCGTACTTGATGGAAGTCTGGGTCATAAATGAATATGAAGTTTGCAAAAAATTAGTCTGATTACAAATACAATTATGTAGAGGTTAAATTAAAAAATTGAATTAACCCTGTATACTGTTTTCCTGATGGCATTGGCATTGTAGTGGAGATTATGGTGTTATTTTAGTTTTATTTTTGGTGTGAAACGAAAGGAGTAGCATTTGCATTTGAATGAAAAACATGACTAGCCTTAATGCCGGTGGATAATTACATTAGAGCACAATACATAAAGGGAAATCAAGATTGTTTTGTTCTAAAGTAAGGGAAGGTGTTGGAGCTACTACTCTCTTCGTGTTCATGATCTGAAAGCTCTGTAATTCCACTGGAGGAGGAGGAATCGGTCTTGTTCTGTGCGAGGAAGTCATAGAAAACAAGCTTTGAGTTCTTCACCTTGCGGATGTTATCAAGGCTTTTAGCACCACTTCTCCTCTTCAAAAATATCCTACATAGAACCCAATTTTCCAAAGGGCTCTATAGAAAGAGAAAAAGATTGTATTAGTATTAGTAATAAGGGAAATAAGTAGAGATGAAATATTGTTTCATGAGTCGTGAGTCCTGACAGACCTTAGAGGAGGGGGAGGAATTGTTGATGTTGAGGAGGCGATATTCATGCATGATCCAATCAGTTCTGGAGCCATGAGGTGGCTTGCCTCTGTAGAAAACAAGCGTCTTCTTCATCCCCACAACTTGGTTGGTTACAATTTGCTTGTCCAACCCAGTTGCCTTCCAATAACCTGAATTGGTGGCTCTGTTGGAGCGATTCCCGTTGGGATATTTGGCCTCTTTGGTGCTGAAGAAGTACCTCTCTTGTTCCAACTCACCTAAGGTATAGGTGTATATATGTATTATTAGTAAATTACAAAAATAAAGAAAAGAAAAGAGTGTGAAGTGATGAATTCAAACCAGGCAAATCCCAAGGATCAGACTTGCAAACATCAACCTCTGGAATGATGGAGGCTGGCAAAGGGCAGGAGAAGACCTTACGCTTCAAGTATTGGACCACAAGTTCCTCATCCGTCGGGTGGAAACGGAACCCCGGAGGCAATCTAAGCACCTTCTCCATCCTACACACCTACTTCTTCTCTATTTATATATAATTTACTCAATCGGAGCCACTCGCACTCGTGGGGAGTTCATTCATTACATTAGATATTAGATATCAGATCAGAGCACAAAGGGAGTTATTATTATTATTATTGGATAAAGAAAGCAAAAGGGTATGGAGAAGAATGCAGTGTGCCTTCTTTTATAGTAATGCCTCCCACATTTGCCGTAAACCAGACTCAACCTTTCTTTTACTTTCACCATATTAATTATTAATTAACTCTTTTTTATTTTCCTTTTCTTTCAATAAATATATATATAGTTATATGTCACTCATTCATTGGCTACACCTCACCCAACCCAACCCATAATCTATTACTATTATTCCCCCTTAGGGGAACAGATGAATTTCACTCACTCATACCAGATTAATTTGTACGGCAACTCAACCTCCTCTCTTCTCTAGTCTCTACCACGCATCCCTTTCTGTCGGTATTACCTTTCCCTTCCGCTCTCTTCTTAGATTCTCTCATCCACAATTTATTTCTTCTGCCTTAGCTTCTATATATTACAACAATACTACGATTCTTATATCATTTTTATATCGGTTTAATTATAATTTTTAATTTTTTTTTTACTTTTTGTAATAACTATCTTAAAAATTATACAAATCTTTAATTTTAATTAATTGACCGTGTATGATGTGAATACACTATCATTAATTTATTTTATTATTTTTCATATAATTGTCATAAAACTATCATTCTTTCAACTAAAATTATTCACTTTAACAATATTTATTATGTGCTCCTACTTGACAATTTACTTTTCTGCTTTTCAGTAAGGTTTTAACTTTTAAATGTAATTTAACGTTTACGCTGCCTCAAGATATTTTTAGATAACACATAATTAATTATGTTTCTCAGACTCTTTTGACAAAATTAATTCATTCCAATTTATGAATTCCGATACCATATTGATTTAAGGAGCCGTGAACGTAAACATACACTTGCGAAATCATTTTCAAATCAATTAAAATATTCTGTTAGCTTTTCAATAACTTAAGGGTCTAAATCACGCTGAAATCGACTAACCATACAAATTGGCATATATTCTTATTAAAGCTACATGCATAAAAACTAGCCATATAAAACCATTCACAAAATCTATTCTATCTCAGACATGATCCTATGTATTGCACTCAATATTTCTATGTGGGCCTAACTCGTTGTTTATTCTCTAAATAATGGAAACGTCCAAGTTACTTGGGAGTGTAGAACAAGTGTTTTAAATTAAATTAAGCATTAGTCAAACACCACATAACTAAGCTCGTATTATTATTTAGTATTATGTATCTTAAGCTTATGTGTGTTGGGAAAATTACAAGTTAATTAATTCCTTTTACATTACTTTATATGTATTGACTACTTAATTTAATTTATTGATCATTTTCGATTATAGTTAGTTTATCGATTTTTTTTAATCAATGTAACTCGTCTAATTGGTTTATACATAAATAATTTGATGTTTTAAGGATATTTTAATATGAAGTTAGAGTTTTGGCTCACTCTAGACAATTTGTTCACACCAGAGTAATGAGAAATATCTTACCATTTGTTTAGTTGGGTAGAAATTAGTGGGAGGGAGAGAGAAGAGAATGGAATTGAAGTTGATAGAAAGTTCATATTTTGAGTGTATATGATGTGGTAAATTTGAAAGAAAGTAAAATTACGGTACAAAAAATATTATATACAATGACATATTGTAGATGATATATATATATATATATAT